TCTCTCTCTCTCTCTCTCTCTCTCTCTCTCTCTCTCTCTCTCTCCCCTCTATATCTCCCCTTCTGTCTCTGTCTCTCCATCTCTGTCTCCCTCTCTCTGTCTGTCTCTCTCTGTCTCCCCCTGTGTCTCTCTCTGCCTGTCTGTCTCTGTGTGTCTGTCTCTGTCTCCCTCTGTCTCTCTGTCTGTCTTAGTCTCTGTTTGTCTCTCTGTGTCTCTCTCTCTCTCTCTCTCTCTCTCTCTCTCTCTCTCTCTCTCTGTTTCTTTTTCTCTACATCTGACTTGGTTCTATATTCTTATAACCTTTTTATCCTTCCAAGCCCCAACATAACTTCCCCCATCACTTCATTTCCCTGGGACCCCACATTCCGGCAGCACCAGTCCCTCCTAAGGTTAGCCATTATTCTGTTTTTATCAACCAGAAACGAAATAGCACCTCAGGAGCCCTGAAAGCCTTGTACTCTGAGAGCTCCCATCCCACTGCTCAGCGCAACATTTTAACTTCTAATTTTAGGGACACCTCGGGACCTCTTTGAGGTTCCACAAAGCCCAGGTCTCTTGAACTCTTTTTCTTGAATGAGAAGAGAATGAGGGCACCCTGATGGATAGACACAAAGTGCTGGAGGGAGAGAGAAGTTGAACCTCAGTGCCTAGAGCCAGCGTCAGGTGGGGGCGGATCCAGAGAAGGAAGAGAAAAGGAGGTCAGCTGCGAGTCAGATTACTTGGAAAAGCAGCCTCTGCATTCTGCTCTCTGGGGTTCCTCCTGGTTATGCCCCTTCAAGGCACCTCAGAGTGTCTGCCTCCTTTCTAAGTCAAGAGTCTCCTCTGAGGGCCAGCCAAATAGCTCAGCAGATTAAAGCACCTGCAAGCAGGCGCAGGGGCCAGGGGTTCAATCCCTGGGCCTGACATGCCAGCCCCACTCCTGGGGGGCTCTGAGAGTGATTGAAACTGGGCGTGATGGCATGGGCCTGTAATCCCAGCTCTTGGGAGGCTGTAAACAGGTGGATCACTACAGGTCCTATCTAGCAGTGAGACCATGAACACCCTGTAAACCCTTCCCTGAAATACAAAAAAACAAAAAGCACCTCTCCTCTGAGAACATCAATTCTAAAGCATGAAACAACAGCAGGTGGTTGGTGAAGTCATATTTGGAAGCTTGCACACATCGCTCAGTACCTTTTCAAAGGTACTAAGAAAATAATGTTTTTATGAACCCAGAGTATTTTCTTCTCCAGCGAAAAGATCTTCACCTAATCAAATGGCATCTACCCAAGCTGTCTTGGATATGTCTGTTCTTGTGCTAAGATTTGCTTGTGTCTCATACATAACTTTAAGAAATCAGGACCAACTGTCCTAAGCCCTGGCACTTGTATATGATAAAAATCACTCCTGTTTTCTGATGTCAAACAAAGACCCAACATTAGCTACAAACTCTGACACTCCTGTGCCATGTGTGGAGAAATGGGGGACGCTGGAGATGAAATTTAGGGAAAGGACCGGTGCTGTTGACTCTCAGAACACCAAGTGTAGCTGGTGTTCAAGTAGGTGGTTTGGAACTAGAGACAAAGCAAAGTCAAGGGAACAAAAGTTGAAAAAAACAATCGAAGCATTGTGAGGCACCAGATTTTTCCCAAGATTAAGGAAAACAGAATTCTCTGGGCCTCTTTGCCATGGAACCACCCCTACTGCCAACCCCAACTCCTACCATGCCATTCCCTTGTTCTCCACCAGATTACTTGAGAGAACTTATATACAGCACTGTTATCTTCTTAGGGCATTGTATTAGTTACCTAGTGCTGTGTAACAAATTAGCCCCCAACTTTAGCAGCCTAAAACACCAGCATTTATTGTCTCATAGTTAGGTTGGGAATCTTGGGAAAGCTTAGATGGGGGCTCTAGGCCAGAGTCTGTCATGAACTTGTGGTCAGGATGTCGGTAGGGCTTCAGTCCTCTGAAGGCCTAACTGGGCTTACAAGACAGGACAATTCCACGATGCTCACTCAAATGACTGGTGGCCAGACGCCTCAGTTTCTTTCTGATTGTTGGCTGGGGAATGCTCAGGCCCTTCCTACATGGGCCTCTCATGGTAGTGCTGAATAAGGATCCTTATGACACGGCAGCTGGCTTCCTCCAGAGTGAGATCCAAAAGAAGATAAGAAAGAGGCCACCATACCTATCTTTTATGTCCTGGTCTCAGAAGTCACACACTGTCATATCTGCCATATTCTGTTGATCAGAAGTGAGTCAGAGCAGAGTCTAGACCACATTCAAGGAAAAGAAGAATTGGTAAACATCTTAAAACCATGACAATATTTTCTTGCTTCTGTGTAATG